TTCTCAGTTGACTTAATGTGTGATCTGGACGACGTGTTCTCTATTGTTATATGGGTTTGCAATGTCTTGGAACCCGGATCTTTCGCAGCACCTGCTGCTCTCTTGCGTTGTTGATGCGTTTCTGTGGCCAATTTCACTCCAGGCGAAAAACCTGAGGACTTATTTGAGGACTCAGACTGTTTTTTTAATGTGCTCATTATAATGAGCACATCTCATTGATCAGTTTCAAACACACTTTACTATTTAGTGCATGTACAATGTATTCACTGGCAGTTGTGACGTTTAAATGGTTATTTTGCTCCAATTATTCGTCTCCTCATGGATCCATAAATTTGTAAACTTGTCCTCCTTTTAAGTACATGTAGACCATGCACTCTGGGCTTGATAGTGCTGTTAGTTTCTCTTGTATTTGGAGTTCCAGAGGTGTGCCAGAGAAGCACTCGCAACTAAGGTTGTACCACTTTCTAAGATAAAAATGACCCATCAGCATGTTTTAGTGCACAGCGTTGTCATCATCTTCTTTGAAATCAAGCGGTAAATGCAATAGGTCTAGTGACTAGACTAGAAAGTGGCACAAACTCAAATTTGATAGTTTGTGTTCACTAGTGAATTTTTCTGGTTTGCCAAAAGCAAATCAAATACAAATCAGGCCATGAGCTTTCTCTTTAAACTGAAATCTTAAATACCGATGGTTTCAAGATACACATCTGGTTTCAGATGTACAGTACACCAGTACTGGTTGGACAATTTGGGGACACATTTTATACGGTAACCATATATTTTCACTCTAGGCTATATTATATTCAACACAAAGTTCTCACCGTAACCAAATTGGCACGGATAAAATAGATTGGAGGCCAATGATAAAACTGATTAATCGTTCTTCCTTTTTGTAGCAATATTCACATGGCGCATGTGTACCAATCAGTGCGTGTTTATGGTGCCCTTTAAGGGTACCAGAATAACAGCAGGTACCCCATAAGGGACATTAGCTGTCACTGTGGGGCATTTACACACTATTCCCCCCTTCAAAAAAAAAAAAAATCTCGAAATAGATTTTTTTNGGAATTAACCGAAAATGGAGATATTTCCAAGGTAAAATCATGTCTCGCAAATTGAAGTATTCATCACATTTGGTCGAACTATCAACCCAGGAAAGGTAGTCTGGTTCAAATGGGAGCGTGTTGGAAACTACGCTTGACTCACAATTTTTTTAGTACACGAGAACAAATGAAATACCCGACACGAATACGACTACCATCAGTTGACATTTTATTCGCTTGCGCTATTTTTGGAAAACATAAAAATATTTTTTAAAAATAAAACTAAGCTGCACTATTTCAGCTGTCCTAATAATCGGAGTATCCTCGTAATTTTTTTTAAAGAGCAGAATTTCAGAATTTAAAGTCTTACTGACTTTTTTGTATATACTATTTCGATCATGAAACACAGTCAAAAATGTCGGGTTACGATGACTCAAGATATACGGTAGAATCAAATCGACTGGTAACCCTGCCACTTTTTCCATAGTATTCGTGTCTGTTCTGGGGTTAGACCGTCAAACACGTAGTATGACCGTAACCTATACAGAGTCTTTTTAGGGGCGACAAGTATCGTTGCTCCCTCGAATAAACTCCCACCGTTGAAGTAGTAAAAGTTCTTGATATCCTTTGGAATAATGCCAATGTCTTTCAACATGATACCCACGTATACATCCTCCCAAGGAAAGACAGGTGTAAGTAAAGACTGAAGATACAATTTGTGTACCATATCAATAGACATTATATACCCGAGACCCACGCAGTAGTCTGGGTAGGTCGATTTGGAGTAGATATGTTTTGGCATGTAGAATTTCTCCCATTTATCGCGGATCACGGGGTAGGACTTCGCCAAGCGACCTGTGATAAGAGCTCGTCGCGGTGCCGCGTGTAGGAAAGCCAGTATCTTCGGTACGTTGACGATGATGTCGTCGTCGGTTTTCATGACGTAGTGCGCGTCAGGGCAGAACCGACTGGCCCACTTGAGCCCCATTACAGTCTTGATGGTCAGGTTGAGGTAAGAATCTAGGAATTCTTCCATAATCAGGTCGTCGTGCTTGTCCGCTTCCCTCAGCAGATCACTCGGTACACCTACGCTTTGTCCACCAGTGAGGGCTGTTACTCCGAGAAGAAAACGGACCTTCACAACAGCTGACACTGCTGTGCTGCCACGCGGAGCTCCCCACGTTTCACGGATGACCTTCCGTCGCTCAGAGTTCTCCGGGTGAGATGTCACAAGTACCAGCAAGTCAACTCGATTGCTGGTCTGGCAAGTGGTCGAACTGGGGTTGATCAGATATCTGTAGTCATGGGGATCTATGTAAGACAGCCAAAGTGCATAATCCAGGATTCCTCGCCTAGGAGATTTCGGGCTTGGGCTTGGGGGGACCCGGTGTCCGCGCGGTTTCTTCACGCCCTGTCTTTTCTTGGGGTGCTCGGTGACCTTCCCGTCATCTGAGTTCACTTTTGATATAAGTTGACGATTTAGGGAATCACCAGATGCCAGTACTGGTTTCTCGGTGAAATACTGCTTCTGCGCCATGACAGCCTTTGCTGTCAGCCTGCCTCTCGATCCATTCGTGTACCGATCAATGCATACTCGATGTAGTCCCTTGGAAGTCTTCAGGAACTTGCACGATTGCCAGTAGTTCACGTTCTTGTATTTCCCCTTCAGTACA